ACGCGGCGCGAATGTCCGCTGAAGTTCAGATTTCCGAACTCAAGCGATTTGCGCAAAACGCGCATTAAGCACGTCAAACGTGCAAAACGCTCAATTCGTGCGTATCGCTTCAATTCGTGCGATATCGATTCAATCTGAAAAATATATTTCAACAGTTTATTTTAATATCATTAAATAAATAACTGATTTAAAACATGGCTATTAACTATTGCATTTTTCTAGGGAAATGTTATATTGTTTTCGTAAGAAATATCGTTATCAAAATACTCAAGAATAATATTGCATATAGTGTTTTTTTTAGGATTAAGCATTCCTACTCATTGTCATAAATGAGAAGGACCTAATAATAATAATAATAATAACGATAATAGTAATAATTTGCGGAATTGGTTTAATATTTTATATTTGTATTGTTAACTATATTATTTATATAAATGTTAATAATTAGTAATGTTATCTACTAATGTAGTTATAACTAATATGCAGAATTGTAAATATTGGCCTATTGGTGCTTTTGTAATTTTAATTGACATTTTTATTGTTGTGATTAATAAATAAATAGTTTATTATTTGCATAATTGTTTTAATTAGTGTTTTATTTGTATATTTCTTCTTGACAATGATAATCAGATGGTAAACGTGTCTATAAAATAAGTGTATTTGTTTATTTGTTTTGGATGGATTTTTGAATAAAATCTTGCCAAATATTGTTTGATCCTGCATAGCTTGTGCTCATTTCATCAGCTCTGTACTTCTTAAAAGTGACTTTCTCACCAGACGGGCTCAAAAAGATCCTGGCCAAATTCAGCCAATCACATCAGCACTCGCTAAATAAAGAAAACACTTTGCCGTTTTGTTTCTGAAAGGCACCAGACGTTTAGTGAACGGACTGTGGGCGGTCTGTGGGTTTGTCGTCTGAGTCTTTGTGAAACTTCTTATTATGCATGTTCTTGCATATTTATGCAAATGCTTCAAGCTCTTGTAAACCAAAACAACTTCCTTGTGTGAAATCGCAAATAAAGCACTTTCTTGTGTTTGCTTTGGCTTTATGAAGCTGAGCAGTGTATACAGTAGACACAAATACTTTCATTTATTTCCCTGGTAACTGTACAGTTTGTTTGGCATGTGCGCTAGACTTACCCTCATCATATTTGCACACATTATCTGTAGTATTAAATAAACACAGCAGCTTGAAAAGTTACTGAGATAAAGCTTTCAGATATCAAAACTAGTGCTGGGCTAAGGTTAATAGCATCCAAAATGAAAGCTTTTTTGACATAAGATATCCATCCATCAACTTCATCCATCCATCAACTGCATCCATCCATCCATCAACTGCATCCATCCATCAACTGTATCCATCCATCCATCAACTGTATCCATCTATCCATCCATCCATCCATCCATCCATCCATCCATCAACTGCATCCATCCATCCATCCATCCATCCATCAACTGCATCCATCTATCATCCATCCATCAACTGCATCCATCCATCCATCAACTGCATCCATCTATCATCCATCCATCAACTGTATCCATCCATCCATCCATCAACTGCATCCATCCATCCATCTATCAACTGTATCCATCTATCCATCCATCCATCCATCCATCCATCCATCCATCCATCAACTGCATCCATCCATCCATCCATCCATCAACTGCATCCATCTATTATCCATCCATCAACTGTATCCATCCATCCATCCATCAACTGCATCCATCCATCCATCTATCAACTGTATCCATCCATCCATCCATTCATCAACTGCATCCATCCATCCATCCATCCATCCATCCACTGCATCCATCCATCCATCCATCCATCAACTGCATCCATCCATCACCCATCTATCAACTGTATCCATCCATCCATCAACTGTATCCATCAATCCAGCCATCAATCCATCCATCAACTGTATCCATCAATCCATCCATCAACTGTATTCATCCATCCATCTATAAACTGCATCCAGTTAACAGTATCCATCCATCCATCGTATCCATCTATCTATCAACTATGCATCCATCCATCGATCAACTGAATCCATCCATCCATCGATCAACAGTATCCATCCATCTATCTATCAACTGTATGCACTCATCCATCCATCAACTCTGTCCATCCATTCGTAACCATCAATCCATCCATCAACTGTATGTCCATCCATCCGTCCGTCAACTGTATCCATCCGTCCGTCAACTGTATCCATCCGTCCGTCAACTGAATCCATCCATCCGTCAACTGTATCCATCCATCCGTCCGTCAACTGTGTCTGTCCATCAACTGTGTCCATCCGTCCGTCAACTGTGTCCGTCCGTCCGTCAAATGTATCCATCCATTCGTTGATCAACTGTATCCATCAATCTGTCCTTCCGTTCGTCCATCCGTCTATAATACACACACACATAAAAACAAAACTAACATTTTTTACATTGGTATTTAAATGTGTATATGTACATTGAAATATAAATAAACATTTTCTCAACTATATGCATGGATAGGATCACGCTGTAGGGGCGTGCATCTGCATCAAATATAATAAACGATCTACAAACATAAATACAAAAATGAAAAATATACAAATGAAATAAACTGATTTATTGTTCTCTGAGGAATCTTTTCAGCTACAGTAATTATATAAACAAATGTAAAATAATACTGCAAAGTCTTTGCTGTATAAATAATTCAATAAAATTTGTCTTTAATAAAGTTACATATGGTACAATTTTGTTCTTTCTGAATGCTTAAATCCTAATAAAATCACAGGCCTCAAAACACAGATAAATGTCATTGCACATCCTGACTATTTGATCATATACGCAGCCCTACTGTATATGAGATATTTATAAAAATGTATTTTTTCATGAAGTAATAATAAATAAAATAAAATAAGTGGATTACTCCTCTAATAATCTTTGCTCCTAACTCCGGGTTGATCTCTCTCCCTTATCTATTTATAGCATTTTGCTCTGTAAATTACTGGAATCAAGTGGGAGAAAATTACAGCTTGCGTCTGATATTCCTGATGCTTTGGAGACACAGGCCGGAATGTGTAGTATTTCCTCGCTGGAGCGTGACATAATGCGTGTTTGCTTTTCCTCTGCTGTTCTGTGCTTTAATCTGATGCAGACTCAGCACTGGCCTTCAGGATTAGTTCAGCTCATTCTAGACTTCTCCAACATCTGTGTGTGACTTTAGCTGTAATTACTGTACTCTTATCGGCTGCACGTGAAAGTTTGAGTTTGTTTAGATGTTTTATGGTTGTTTTACAGCAAACAGTTGTTGTAGAATCTTGTTACATGTTAATTTACATTATACTGGAATTACCAACTTTGATATAATACCTTGAAAAATAGCGATATTCGAAACCATTTTCAATGCCACAAGATGTTTTATGGTTGTTTTACAGCAGCTAGTTGTTGTAGACATGTTTATGTTGTATTGTTATAACTAGTGCTGGGTAGAGTGTCGTCACGATACTAGACTTTCCAACTTTGATACAATACCTTGAAAAATATTGATATTTGATATGATTTTCAATGCCACAAGATGTTTTATGGTTGTTTTAAATCAGCTAGTTGCTGTAGAGGCTTGCTACATTTGACTCTAGATGATACTGAAACTTCCAACTTCTATACAATACCTTGAAAAAATATCGATATTCGATACCATTTTCAATGCCGCAAGATGTTTTATGGTTGTTTTAAAGCAGCTAGTTGTTGTAGACATGTTTATGTTGTATTGTTATAACTAGTGCTGGGTGGAGTGTCGTCACGTTACTAGAATTTCCAACTTCGATACAATACCTTGAAAAATATTGATATTCGATATGATTTTCGATACCACAAGATGTTTTATGGTTGTTTTACAGCACCTAGTTGTTGTAGACATTTTTATGTTGTATTGTTATATAACTAGTGCTGGGTAGAGTGTCGTCACGATACTAGAATTTCCAACTTTGAAACAATACCTTGTAAAATATTGATATTCGATACGATTTTCGATGCCACGAGATGTTTTATGGTTGTTTTCAATTATCTAGTTGTTGTAGAGTCTTGTTACATGTTACTCTAGGTGGTACTGAAATTTCCAACTTCGATACAATACCTTGAAAAATAGCGATATTCGATACTATTTTCAATGCCGCAAGATGTTTTATGGTTGTTTTACAGCAGCTAGTTGTTGTAGACATGTTTATGTTGTATTGTTATAACTAGTGCTGGGTAGAGTGTCGTCACGATACTAGAATTTCCAACTTCGATACAATAACTTGAAAAATATTGATATTCGATACGATTTTCGATACCACAAGATGTTTTATGGTTGTTTTACAGCACCTAGTTGTTGTAGACATGTTTATGTTGTATTGTTATATAACTAGTGCTGGGTAGTGTTTTCACAATATTGTAGTTTCCAACTTCAATGCAATTCCTTGAAAAATATTGATATTTGATACCATTGTCTTGTTACTTGTTTATATTTTAATGTTATAACTAGTGCTGTCACGATACTGTAAGTATCACGTTACTGAAAATATAGTGTTGATACAAAACATTAAAAAATATTGATGTTCAAATACCATTTTCCATGTTTTATTGTTGTTTTACAGCAGCTAGTTGTTGTACAGTCTTGTTACTTGCTTATGATTTAATGTTATTAGCCTAGTGCTGGGTAGAGTGTCGTCACGATACTGGTATTTTTAAATTCAATACAATACCTTGAAAAATATCAATATTAATTATCATTTTCGAAACCTCAAGGAAAAAATATTTCAACATTTAAGCGTATACAAATGAAGTAACAGTAAAAATTAAACTAAACCATGCAATGTTTTTGCATTTTCAAGTAAAATGTACGTCACACCAGGTATGCCCAAATAAAATTATAAAGCTGTTTCAATTTGTCTGTGTGTGTATATCATCATAAGGATGCTTATTGCAACTTTTAATTCTGGGTTTAAATTAATAATTAATTTCTTCTCTGTTTTCTGCAGGATCCGTCAGTGACACAAGTAACGCGGACTGCCCCGCCTGGCCTGGAGGAGTATAACCCTTTTACAGACACAAAGCCGGTGAGAGACAGAGTACAGAGACACACTGATATGAGGTGCTGGAAACTATATGTACAGCTGTACTAGTTTTTCTTGGATTATAATAATTAGAACAGGTCGAAAATACCATCCACCAACACAGTCTGAGATGCCAGCCCAAGAGAAAGAGAAGCTGGCCATCTCTGTTTAGTGTGCCAGTTTAGTCTCCATACCCGTTTTATTTTAATATCATTGAGAGACTTTATTTATAATTCTAAAAAAATTTATTATACATTTTACACTCTTTGTTATATTGCAGCTGTTTGGTAAAATCCTTAAAGTTCATTTTTTTTCCTCAGTAATGTACAAACAGCAGTCCAGATTGACAGAAAAACACAGAATTGGGGATATTTCTGCAGATTTATTGAAAAGAAAAACTGAAAGATCACATGGTTTTAAGTATTCAGACCCTTTGCTCAGTATTTAATAGGATCCCCCTTTTGATCTAATAGAGCCAAGGGTTTGTTTGGGAAAGTTTTTCACACCTGGGCTTGGTGATCCTCTGCCATTCCTTCTTGCTGAGGAATTAGATGGTAAATGTTGGTGGACAGCCATTTTTAGGTCTCTTCCGTGATGCTTATTTGGGTTAAGCTCAGGGCTCTGGCTGGGCCATTCAAGAACAGTCAAGGAAATGTTGTGAAACCACTCTTTCATTATTTTATCTTGTTATTTTGTGTGTGTGTGTGTGTGTGTGTGTGTGTGTGTGTGTGTGTGTGTGTGTGTGTGTGTGTGTGTGTGTGTGTATATATATATATATATATATATATATATATATGTGTGTGTGTGTGTGTGTGTGTTTTCAATGTTTTGTTTTAAAAACTTAAAAAAAAATTAATATTACATTATTTATAAATATTTATGTATTTTATCATTTTTATCATTCTGTTTAATATCAAATTTCCAAACTGGTTTGAGTTTTTTTTTTTTCCTGTTGAACACAAATGGAGATATTTTGAAGAATGTTGGAAACCAGTTTCCCTTTGCTTCCATAGTATTTCAGATTCCAGCATTCTTCAAAACATCTTCTTTTGTGCTCAACAGAAAAAAAGAAACTTATAAAGGTTTGGAACCACTTAAGATGGGTGAAGGATGAGTATATTTACATATATTATAAATATTAGAGCAGCACTCTACTTTAATAATAAAAATAACAATAATAATATTTTCTTACATTTATATAGCGCTTTTCTGGACACTCAAAGCTCTTTACACATTTTTTGTGGGGAATCTCCTCATCCACCACCAGTGTACAGCATCCACCTGGATGACACGACGGTAGCCATATTGCGCCAGACCGCACACCATTGGTGGAGATGAGATGAAGCCAATTATGATATGGAGATGGTTATGATGGACAAAGGCCAGTGGACAAGTTTGGCCAGGATTCCAAAAGACGGCACTCACTGAGCAGGATAGAGTCCCATTCACTATACTGGGGCGTTAGGACCCACACAGACCGCAGGTTGAGCACCCCCTGCTAGCCTCACTAACACCACTTCCGGCAGCAACTTAGCTGTGGTCTCCCATCCAGGTACTGACCGGGCGCAGCCCTGCTTGGCTTCAGTGGGCGACCATGTGAGAGTTGCAATGAGCTGCCGGCTGATGTATACCTATATTTCTATATTCTATATACCTATATTCTCATTATCCAGAAATATAATACCACATTTTTGTCATCTTGCTATGTCCATTTGTCATCTCAAAGCTAAATATAGTTGCTTTGTATACAGATTTGGTGTGAAAGTGTCAAGAAACAGATTGTGGCTGCTGTTTATTTCTTTCCTCACGCTGGTAGCTGAAGGTCAGGTCGAGTACATTGCATTGTGGCATACAGTATGTGCTCACTTTTATACTGTGTGTCATTCTAATATTTTGCCAAATATGGAAAGTCATCAAAATGTGTATATGTATATGCATTTAGATTTAGTTTGATTGCATTTAGATTTAGTAGATTTAGCACGAGTTGTCTTCAATGAACCTAAACGAGCACATGTCACTCCGCTGCTAGTCCGTTTGCACTGGCTGCCAGTTGCTGCTCGCATCAAATTCAAAACTCTGATGTTTGCCTACAAAGTGACTTCTGGCCTAGCACCTTCTTATCTGCACTCACTTCTGCAGATCTATGTGCCCTCCAGAAACTTGCGTTCTGTGAATGAACGTCGCCTCGTGGTTCCATCCCAAAGAGGGAAAAAATCACTTTCGCGAACGCTCACGCTCAATCTGCCCAGTTGGTGGAATGAACTCCCTAACTGCATCAGAACAGCAGAGTCACTCGCTATTTTCAAGAAACGACTAAAAACTCAACTATTTAGTCTCCACTTCACTTCCTAATCTGCAATTGCCTCTTTGAATATCACACTAACTGTACAAAAAAAAAAAAAAAAAAAAACTACTAATACTTCCCTTCTTAGACTTTACAGACCTGAAACTTGCCTTTAGTACTTATTCATTGTTGCTCTTAGTTGTGTAAATTGCTTCCTTGTCCTCATTTGTAAGTCGCTTTGGATAAAAGCGTCTGCTAAATGACTAAATGTAAATGTAAATGTAGTTTGTGTGGTCAAAACAAAGCCATATTCAGAGAAAGGGAGAATCAGACAAGGAAACAAACCAGCCTACATACAGTACAAACAAAACAGCTCATTGACGGTGTGGTATAACTAGTGAAGCCGTACCAGCTTACGGCTCACTGCCCAGAACAACCCACACTTACTGCACAAACCCTTCCCAATCAGTCCAAGGGAGGTATTTATATTACAGAATGTTTGCCTTTCTTAATTATGCGCATAAATTGCTTCATATTTCTATGATCTGTAACATTCATAAACGCTGTCAGGCAGTCTGGCTTTATGAATGAAAGGAGATATTATGTTGTTATGTTATGCGTAGTGATTGATATGGTGTTTTGTATGACATTTTTTTTTAACAAATCTCTTCTTAATTTTGTTGCGTTTTAGGTCCCGCCAGGCTCCGCCCCTAAATCCGTCCCACCCACAACCAACACACAGCCGGCCATCATGAAACCCACTGAAGAACCTCCAGCTTACACTCAGTCTCAGCAGACACCGGTACATATGCATAATTTCAATCTCTGTTTGATTAACTTTAAGAAGTGTGGCAGCTGGGATGCCATAAGATTGCAATCCTGGAAAAATGTCTAAATCATCCATTTGAAATGTTCCCAGGAGATGGCTTTTACAGAGTTGCATCATGTCATTATTGCATTATTGTAGTGCAGTTTTTTTTGTTAGGCCTGCGCTATTTGCAGAAGAAAAAGCGCAATAGCTTTTATTTCCCTCCCTCATTACCTCTTAGAAAAGTTTCTTAATAATTTAATATACATTCACCGGCCACTTTATTAGGTACACTTGTCAACTGCTCGGTAATGTGAATATCTAATCAGCCAGTCAGATGACAGCTATTTAATTCATTTAGGCATGTAGACATGGTCAAGACGATCTGCTGCAGTTCAAACCAAACATCAGAATGGGAAAGAAAGAAGATTTAAGTGACTTTGAACATTGTTGATTTAATTGTTGAGCTAATTACAGCGAACACTGATGCAGGATGGCATAGTATCAAGCATAGAAAATCTCCCTCCAAACAAACAACAGTAGGTCAACAGAAGCCTCCATCAGGCGAGGGCTCAGAGCCGGTCTGCAGTTATACTGTATAATTCAGCATGCCTGAGGGAAAGGGACGCCTTGCTGTAGACATATGGACACACACACACACACACACACACACATACACACACACACACACACTTCAGATGACTCACACACTCCAGCTCGGTGCGCAAATGTCAGACGCTTGGAGTCAGGACACAACAAGGTGATCTGTGCTGAAACACAACCTTCTGTCATCAGCCACGATTGTCTGTCGGGCTGTCGTTCTTACTGTGTAGTAGGCATGGGATGAGAACGTGTGTAGGAGTCATAATTTGATTTATTATGATTTATTAATAGGGCTCACATTCATGTACAGTTTTACACATGTTGATATGTTTAGTTGTGTACATTCACTAGAGCAGTGATTCTTAAACTGGGGTACGTGTAACACTAGTGGTACACAGGCTTTCTTCTTGTGGGACGCAGAGGAATCGCTAAAAAATTAAATTGAAAAAATGAACAATTTTTTTTTTTTTTTTTTACATGTTTATATAAGGTTATCATAATGATTGTACAATGCGCTTTTACAGACATAGTCAAAGGCAAGTTTTACAAAAATGTGCAATGAGTGAGAAATTATAGTAATCCTTACAAATAAGCCAGCAGATAAATGGGGGGAAAAGGAAAAAAAAGGAAACATCATACCATCCCTGCTAAAAAATCCAGCTTAAACCAGCCTAGGCTGGTTGGCTGGTTTTAGCTGGTCGACCAGGCTGGTTTTAGAGGGGTTTTGGCCACTTCCAGGCTGGTTTCCAGCCATTTCCAGCCTGGTCTTAGCTGGTCAGGCTGGGAGATGACCAGCTAAAATCAGCTTGACCAGCCTAGCCAGGCTGAGAGCCCAGCCAAAACCAGCTATGTCCAGCTTAAACCAGGCTGGTCAAGCTGGTTTTAGCTGGATTAAGCTGGTCATTTTTCAGCCTGACCAGCTAAGACCAGGCTGTAAATGGCTGAAAACCAGCCTGGAAATGGCCAACACCCCTCTAAAACCAGGCTGGTCAACCAACTAAAACCAGCCAACCAGCCTAGGCTGGTTTAAGCTGGATTTTTCAGCAGGGATCTATAAATATCAATATTGTCAACCAATTAGTCATATATTCTCTGGAAAGGCACATAAAACTAAATATAAATTTTCCTCATCATAGCACATTCCTATAATGTAGACATGTCAAAATGAACACTTTTACCCCTTTGATGCGCATGATAACACCGATGTGTTCAGTAAATTGATTTTAATAGCCTAAACCTTTATTTTAATTTTCAATTTTCTCCTGTTTGTTATGTCTTCTATCATTTAAAGCAAATTTCCTCCCTTTATTTGTAATTTGGAGGCAAATTCTGTATTTTTATATCCCAGTGTTGACAGGTAAAGTTTAACCTCTTGCTTTTCTGACACACAAAGCCTACTCTAACACGCAATAAGCAGATCTAATTTAAATATTTAAATCCAATTCATATACAGTTGTTTTTTAAATATTTTCTCAATGATGTTTAACAGAGCAAGGAAGTTTTGTAAAATTTTAAATATTCTTTTTCTTCTGGAGAAAGTCTTATTTGTTTTATTTCAGCTAGAATAAAAGCAGTTTTAAATTTTTATGAACCATTTTAAGGTCAAAATTCTTATTATTTTTTTTTCTGATAGTCTACAGAACAAACCATCGTTACACAATAACTTGCCTAATTACCCTAACCTGCCTAGTTAACTTAACCTAGTTAAGCCTTTGAATGTCACTTTAAGCTGTATAGAAGTGTCTTGATTAATATCTAGGCAAATATTATTTACTGTCATCATGGAAAGATAAAATAAATCAGTTATTAGAGATGAGTTATTAAAACTATTATGTTTAGAAATGTGTTGATGAAATCTTCTTTCCGTTAAACAGAAATTGGGGAAAAAAAAATAAACAGGGGGGCTAATAATTCTGACTTCAACTGTGTATATATAGTTGAAGTCAGAATTATTCGCCCCCTTTAAAATTTTTTTTTTTTTTTAAATATTTCCCAAATGATGTTTAACAGAGCAAGGAAATTTTCACAGTATGTCTGGTAATATTATTTTTTTCTGGAGAAAGTCTTATTTGTTTTATTTTGGCTAAAATAAAAGCAGTTTTTAATTTTTATGAACCATTTTAAGGTCAAAATTATTAGCCCATTTAGGCAAATTTTTTGTTTGACTGTCTAAACACAAACCATTGTTATACAATAACTTGCCTAATTTCAATAACCTGCCTAGTTAACCTCATTAACCTAGTAAAGCCTTTAAATGTCACTTTAAGCTGTATAGAAGTGTCTTTAAAATTTGTAGTCAAATATTTAATGTCATCATGACAAAGAAAAAATAAACCAGTTATTAGAAATGAGTTATTCAAATAAGTTAGTTAAAAAAATCGTGCTAATAAATCTAACTTCAACTATATAAATAATCCAAGTTAATTTTTAGATTTCAGAGAAATACAAATAAGTAATATGTACATGCAACATATACTTCAAAATGTATTAAAAAGAGTTTATACATGATTACAGTATGATGACGTATAGCCTATGAGGTCAAAGGAACATTTCCAGGTTTTGACTAATAAGCTACGTTATAATATTGCTTTACATTTAAGTACAGCAGTTTTCTTTTTCAGAGCAGTGGCGTTTTTAATTAACTTTTTAAAAGCACAGTTTAATTTAAATGTTAAAGTGTTTTTTTTCATAAACACAGTACAGTGTTAATGTTTAGACTATTTATAATGTTTAAGTGGCTGACAATAATTAATATTCATAATAATAGGAATTAATCTACCATGCTTCTCAATGGGCAGTGCTGTAGCTGCTTAATTAGGCTTACTACACTACTGTTTTTCAGTACTGGTCATTATGGTGGTACTTTGAGATACTATTTTTATTGAGGTGGTACTTGGTGAAAAAGGTTTGAGAACCACTGCTATAGAACTTTATATCCAAAGAAAAGACAGATATCTTAAGATGCCTTTATTAAGTAGTAAAGAAATCTGTGTTTTTAAAACTAAATGAAGACAGCAGAAGTCAATGATTTATTTTAATGATTCAGCCTGACATGTTTACTGCTTCAAAATATTTCTTAAAATTAAATTGATTGTGTTCAATGTGGGAAAAAAAAGTTGTAGTTTTCAACCCAGATATTTAAAAAGAACATGTTTTTAGAGCAGTAATCAAAATACCGTGACATTTTTCTTCAATGTTATCATACTGGCAGACTCTTATGCCTCGCGTGTCGTTCAGCACAAAGAGGAGTTCAGCCTCGGGGTGACAACAGAAGGCCTGTTAACGAACTTGTTGCCCACTGGCTTGATTAAGCAGCGCGTGTCACATGACGTTGTCTTCAGGGAAAGAAGGGGATTTCTAAGCCCTTAAAATGACCCAGAAACATGGACTGTAGGCGTCAGATCAGCTCAGATAGGAGTGACTCTTAAAATTGTAATCTGGCATAACTGGGACACGGCAGAAATTAGTGTATGGCATTGTGTCCTAACAATATGCGACATGACAAGCACTTTGTCTGTCTGCAACAAACACGACATGACAAAAACTTTTAAATACCAGAGCCATTTAGGCTGCATTTACACTGCAGATCTTGATGGTCAATTCTGATTTTGTGACAGTATCCGATTTTTTTTTTTTTTGTTGATGACCTGCTTACATCATCTTTTAAAAGTGATTTGTATTCGATCGTCTGCATTTACACAGCACACGGCAAAGGTGCAATGACCAGGAAAAAAGAGCGGGCGCTGACTAACAGCTGATAATTAAAGAGTGCTCTTTACTCTATTCCTGTATGTAATCTGTTCACTGCTTTTGACAAGCTGTTTTACAATAGTTTATGACAGAAACGTTCTCATTTGTCCATCTTCTTTTGATCTATAGGCCTTTTTAAACCTTTAGGCATCTTAATGTAATGTCCATCGCGTGATTTATGCACGTGATGTAGCTATGCACTAGTTTTATATTAGTTTATATTGGTTACGTGGCGGGTATTGGGTTCTCTCGCTCTTGTTAACATGCTTAAATACCTGTGCCATATGACAATATCAAAGCTTTTTAGTCTTAGTGTAAGAGATTTGAGGTGTGGGACTCTGCTGAAGTCTGTTCTGAAATGAAAGTGTCAGAATTTACGTCATTCGCTACGGTTTTTAATGACGCGCGACTCGCATTGACAGGAGAAAATCCGATCCACCTGCTTACACTGCAGACACGAGAACACAGATATGATTCATATCGGATAAATCTCCACATATGAACAAGGCCTGAATCTGATTTGAGTCAATCGTATTCCATGTGATTTGTTCCTGCTTACACGTGCATGAGCTATATCCGATCTTTTCCACATGGGAGAAATAAATCGGAATTGAGTCACTTAAACAGTGCAGGGTAAATGCTGCCTTAGAAATAGTACACTGCAATCCCTATGAAATGGGAAGGTTTATAAACTAATGAATAAATATTAAATCACATTAATAACTAAATCTAATCACTCAAAGTAAGTGGAAAAAGTTAAAAAGCCTTTGTTAACATGGCTGTTATTTAGAAAAGTGCACTATTGTGCACCGCACCAATGCGTTTCGGCAAAACTTGACAATCTTCAGGTGCGTTAAGAGTTCATTTAAAGATTGTCACATAAACAATTCAGAAAATAATATATCGAACACAACAATAAAAACAGTAATGGAAGAGAGAGGGAAGAAAAAAATTACAATATTATTATTCATTCATTCATTTTCCTTCGGCTTATCCCCTTATCAGGGGTTGCAATAGCAGAATGAACCATCAAGGCAAGGCAAGTTTATTTATACTGCACATTTTATAAAACGTGGGAATTCAAAGTGCTTTACATAAACAAGAATAAAAAAGACTAAGAAAAAACAATAAGAAAATAAAAAAACAATAGAAATTATTAAAAACATATAAAAACAGATTAAAATGTGTTAAAACAGGTTATAAAATCATCAAAAAAAGAAAAGAAAGCCATAATAGTGCGATCTGTCGGATGTAGCACAGTGCTCATTCAGTAAAGGCACAGCTAAACAGATGTGTTTTCAGTCTTGATTTGAACATGCTTAATGTTGGAGCACATCTGATCCTTTCTGGAAGCTGATTCCAGCAGCAGGGGGCGCTGTTAGTAGCTGAAAGCTGATTCACCCTGCTTTGACTGAACTCTTGGAATTTCTAGTTTATATGATCCTAAAGATCTGAGGAATCTGTTGGGTTTGTATTCAGTATCATATCTGTAATGTATTGAGGTCCTAGGCCATTTAGTGATTTATAGACCAGTAATAGTACTTTAAAATATAAATAAGGGGAGCCAGTGTAAAGATCTGAGGACAGGGGTGATGTGCTCTGATTTTCTGCTTCTTGTCAGAATCCTATTTAAATACTTTAAAAGCTATTCCGGCATATGTTTTATGCAGCAGATGCCCTTCCAGCTGCAACCCAATACTGGGACCCGGAGGAAGAGAAGAACCCCCAAAATGTCAATATTGCAACAAAAACTAAACTGTTAAACATGTAATGCAATACCCTATTTTTATGCTATCAGACAATGATTATTTATCTGGAGAGACTTTAAAGGAAATATTTTTAAATGAGAATCCTTTCAAAATTGTGCAATATTTTATCAAAAGTAAACCTTAAAAACCTTGTTATTTATCTTATATATTATTTTTTATGTATTTTATCTTATGTATTATTTATCGGTGGTGATGATTTTTTTTTGTTAAAATGATTTTAGAATTATAGAAATGTGATCTTTATAAAAGTTTAACTTGATCAGTTTTTTTTCTAATCTAACCTTTTAAATAAAAATAAAATATTTGTTTGAACAGACACTGAACCCAAAACCACACAAATGAAACTTAAAGTAATAAAAGTAAAATGACAAACTTCATATTAACATACATACAGTTGAAGTCAGAATTATTAGCCCCCTTTGATTTTTTGTGTGTGTTTTAAATATTTACCAGATGATCTTTAACAGAGCAAAGAAATGTTCACAGTATGTCTGATAATATTTTTTTCTTCTGGAGAAAGTCTTATTTGTTTTATTTTGGCTACAATAAAAACATTTTTTATTTTTTTATGAACCTTTTTAAGGTCAAAATTATTAGCCTCTTTAAGCTGTGTTTTTTGACTGTCTACAAAACAAACCATCGTTATACAATAACTTGCCTAATTACCCTAACCTGCATAGTTAACCTAATTAACCTAGTTAAGCCTTTAAATGTCACTTTAAGCTGTATAGAAGTGTCTTGAAAAATATCTAGTCAAATATTATTTACTGTCGTCATGGCAAAGATAAAATAAATCGGTTATTAGAAATGAGTTATTAAAACTATTATATTCGGAAAATTGTTTTCCGACCTGATTGGCCTCAAGGAAGTGTGCCAGTGAAGAAGCTCACCGATGTAAATAGGACCTCTCAAACTTTTAAAAACAAGTAGCAATAACTTATATTGAATCCTAAATTGGACTGGGAGCCAGTGAAGAGATAATATGACATATATTAGATACTAGAATTTTTTTTTGTCCCAGTTAAAAGCCTAGCAGCTGCATTTTGGAACAGCTGCAGGCGTGCAATTGAAGCCTGTGAAACTCCTAAATACAAAGAGTTGCAGTAGTCCAATCTGGACATAATAAAAACATTGATGATGGTTTCCAACTCTTTAGAACACAGAAAAGGCTTAATTTTAGCAATGTTCTTTCATTGATAGAAACCACTTTTGACGACTTTAACTCAGTGTCAAAAATAACTCAAGATTTTTTGCGTGACTGTGGATCTTAGGCTTGAACGCACCTAATTGATTAATTGTAGATTCACAGACACTCAGAGGGTCAAACACTAGTGCTTCAGTTTTTGATTCATTCAAGTGTAAACAATTACCAGCCAACCATTTTTTAATCTCGTTAAAACAGGTAAAAAAAGACTGTAAAACAAGAGTTTTCTCCCATTTTTATGGGCATACTGTATAAAGCTGAGTATCATCAGCATAAAGATGGTAGCTTACATTATGCTTCTTACAAACAGCAGCCAAGGAAAGCATGTAGATGGAAAAAAACTGGGCCCAAAATTGAGCCTTGGGGAACACCACACTATACGTGCAGATGACGTTAAACAGAAATTGGAGGGGAAAAAATAAACAAACAGGGGGGGCTAATAATTCTGACTTTACCTGTATGTTAATAAAAAGTTCATTAACAAATAGTTGTAAATACTGTAATATAGAGAGTGTAATACACTTTACTAAAGTATGCTTTATAATAAAAATTCACATAAATGTTTAAATATGTTGAAAAACAGACAATCTATTTTGAACTGTAAAAAAATAGCCGAATATTGCGTTTGTGATCACCTCTGTTAGCATAAAAATCCTACCGACAGCAAACGTCTGTGTGATAGAGTAGCTTTACACGAGATCAGATGGTCATTTATGATATGGATCGGCATATTTAAATTTACATCGTGTAACTACAAGCCAGATAAGATATGCTATGAATAAACGAGAAGAGTTTGCAGACAAGACAGACAGTGAGTTTCTGATGTGTTTGTGATTGGTTCTGACAGCTGTAAACAGTCTGAGAAAATGCCCCGGGAACCATTTTTGTGTGTGTGTTGTGTTGTTGACTGTCTTCAAGTCATGTTATTTGTTCAGAACCACGTTGTGTGTGTATGTGTAGGATCAATCGCGAGCTCAAGCGGAGTTATTGAGGAGACAGGAGGAGCTGGAGAGAAAAGCCGCTGAGCTGGACCGCAGGGAGAGAGAGATGCAGTCGCTCAACGCGTCAGGAGGTGAGATATTAGCCTTACGTCATGCCACGAGTTTATTGCGGTCAGAAACCGCCCACTAAGATGTGAAATTACTGACATGTAAAGTCACCTACTGAAGTTACTTCTTTTTTCTTTTCCAAATATATTTTTATTGAGGGCGGTGGCTCAGTGGTTAGCACTGTCACCTTACAGAAAGAAAGTCGCTGATTCAATTTTCCACATTCTCAAAATCACCCTTTTGGCAATTACCAAGCCAAAAAACATGGCTTGTCTTTCATATTTATTAAAGAGCCCATATTATTCATGAAATAGGGTCATATCTTGGTTGTAAGGGTCTCCAACAACAGTCTAATATGCATGCAAGGTCAAAAAACACTTTCGTGGTCTTATAATCTGCATTTATTTTTACCTAATTATCCCAGCGACTCCTGTATGAATCGTCCAGTGATTCATTTGTTCCCAAACCCCTCCTTAGCGCGAAGCTAATCTGCGCTGATTGGACCAATGACAGTCTGTTGCGATTGGTCGACTGCCTTCAGTCAGAGAGTGAAATGCCAAACAACTAATCAGCAATATAAAAGTAATCACAGTTCATACACGCTCGATAGTGTAGGCGTGGATTTTAGCTGCCAGTGGGTCAATGTAAATACAGACTATGGACTTGAAAATTCAGACGACTAACTATTTTATTGAGCAAAAACTCAAAAAACTGTTGAGGAGATCTCCTAGCTTCTCACTCTGCTCTTTTCACAGACACACACACATATTGCACACACACATACAAACACACACACACACACACACACGCACTTAACCCTGCTCCGGAAGACAACGCGCGCACACACACACACAAACACAAACACACACACACACACATCCTCCGGACGACAGCGCGCGCACACGCACACACAGACACACACACTACTCCTCGTCCACGGAGCTCCGTTAACAAAGCAGCATGCGTCGCGTTTTTAACGTGACTTTGCACACGATAAGAGAATATAGCCAGTAAACCTGATACAGTACACGCGGTTACAAGTAACAAATCACAACTAAATACATTTGCAAGCTAGAGTCAGCGAGGCAACTTTAATCGCACGTACTTACACTTGAGAAATGGAGGAAGAAAAATCCATCCTGACGTCCATCAGTAAGTTACTCTTTACTGATCCTTCCTTTAACAAACGCTGATGAAGTATTCTTTGCAGCATGTAGTTTCCAGAAGTTTCCAGTAGTTTCCAACTGCTTGGCTATAATGCTGAGGTTTCATGTTTGGGTAGAGACTCAATATATCCATCTGCAGTGTGACTTCAATCGACTGGCATGTTTGTGTGTGTGTGTGTGTTTGTGGGTGTGTGTGTGTGTGTGTGTGTCTGGGTTTCTGCGTCAGAGGGCGGGGCCTCAGGTTTGAAATCTCCCGGGTTTGCGCGTGCACATGAATAACTTGGTTTCGTTCGTACGTCATGGCGAAACACCTAATGACTCGGTATCAAGGCGACTCGTTTGAAGCACAATGAGTCGACTCTTTTATAGATGAATCAACAGTTTTAAACACTGTACTCTTACAGATTTAAGCCTTAGCTGGATACTTCACTTCACTTAGAGCTGTGTTACACACTACATGGAGGGGAGTTTTCAAAAACCCATAATATGGGCTCTTTAAACATCTCTAAATTACTAAATATCCCAAGAACAGCTTTAAGTAGACATGGTGCAAGTTTTTTTGGAGGGCTTCAGAAAAACATTCAAATATATTTTCCCAATATTCTTGTAGTTTAGGACACTTTATTTAAGTTTACTCTCTTTGAGGGATAATGAGCTGATTCTGACCTATACAGTAATCTCTGATGGGTTATTTCATCTTTTCTAAAGACGAAATAACAAATTAATTAACAAAATTAACTAATTTAAGGCCTTTCCAAAACACTCTTCATGTGCATTGTTCCAGCACTTCACAACTGTGGTATAAGCTAAGTGATTTTAAACACAGCCTGACTATATAAATGTCACAATTTTGTGTCAACTGTGGTTCCAGATGAGTGGACAAGGTTGCCAGATTGGCAGGATCAAGCAATTTCATATTTAATATTTAGATATCTGGCAACCCCTTGCATGACAGCTTGCGGAGTCTTGTTATCAATGAAGTAAGATGCAAATGTCAAGTAAAAATTAGATGTTGTTCAGGATATATATAGGGCTTATATATATATATATATATATATATATATATATATATATATATATATATATATATATATATATATATATATATATCCAGTACGCAAATATTACAGATAATCATGGATTTCTCAGTTGAGAAAAGCAGAAATTGTTGCCATTAGCTAGTCTACTATTATTAATCTACAAACTCAACAGTATGGTTTGTTCATTCAGACGCGCTGGCGGAGCGGTTCACTGTCCGTGTCAGCGATCTCCCAATAATATCCAGCTGCAAACTCAAACATCTGTTTTAACAGAAGTAGGGGGTTTTACTTGTATTTTACATTTGTGTGTATAGTTTTTTAATATTTAATAGTAGATATTAAGTCAGTCCAGTTTAATGCAGAAGCTGGTCTTTTGCAATCTACCCGTTGACCTGTGGTTCTCTTTGAATGTGTGTGTGTGTGTGTGTGTGTGTGTGTGTGTGTGTGTGTGTGTGTGTGTGTGTGTGTGTGTGTGTGTGTGTGTGTGTGTGTGTGTGTGTGTGTGTGTGTGTGTGTGTGTCTGTGTCTGTGTCTGTGTCTGTTTGTCTGTGTCTGTGTCTATTTGTCTGTCTGTCTGTCTGTCTGCGTGTGTGTGTGTGTGCGTGCACAGTTGAAGTCAGAATTATTAGTAGCCCCCCTGAACGCCTCTGAATTAACACCTCTGTTTATTTTTCTCCGTTGGAGGGAAGATTGTTTCAGCATATTTCTATGCATAATAGTTTTAATGACTCATCTCTAATTACTGATTTATTTTATCTTTGCCATGATGACAGTAAATAATAATTTATTATATATTTTAATTAACTGGGTTAATTAGGTTAACTAGGCAGGTTAGGGTAGTTAGGCAAGTTATTGTATAACGATGGTTTATTCTGTAGACTATCGGGAAAAAATAGCTTAAAGGGGCAAATAATTTTGTTCCAAATATGGGGTTTAAAAAATGTTAAACTGCTTTAATTCTAGCCAAAATAAAACAAATAAGACTTTCTCAAGAAGAAAAAATATTATCAGACATACTGTGAAAATTTCCTTGCTCTGTTAAAATAATTTGGGAAATATTTAAAAAAGAAAAAAAAATCAAAAGGGGGCTAATAATTCTGTATATATATATATATATATATATATATATATATATATATAGAGAGAGAGAGAGAGAGAGAGAGAGAGAGAGAAAATGTCAGACAGGTGGGCCTTCAAAAATTTATCGGAGAAAGAAGTGGGTCCCGAAGTGAAAAAGGTTGAGAACCCTTATTTTAGATGGCCTGACAGTCAAACTCCTAGCACAGGGTCAATTAAATAAAATTTATTGTGCAGCCTAAAATCAGACCCAGATTGCAAATTATTCTGACAAAATCTGTGTAAATGTTAGCAAATCTTTTTTTCAAACTCAATTTTCTGTTTGTTATAATGATTTTTGTGTGCATTATTCATTACTTGGTCTTTTAGGGTTGAGACATACCTCTTGCATGTCAATTAATACAGTTCGATTGAGATTTGAATGAGATTAACTGAACAAAACCGCCTATTACATTATTATTTCCAGTGTAATTTTTGCTTTTCTTTTTTGTCTTGTTTCTAAGGGAGGAAAAACAACTGGCCGCCTCTTCCAGAGAAGTTTCCAGTGGGTCCTTGTTTCTATCATGACATATCGGTGGATATACCTGTGGAGTACCAGAAAACCGTCAAGATCATGTACTATCTCTGGATGTGTGAGTAACTCAATGCCAGCATCCTAAAATAAGCAGCCAAACTGTAATCAAACGGATTGCCTAATCAATGTCACACCGTGACAGACAGGTGTATGTGAAGGCTAGCCAATCATAACAGAGCTCATTTACATATAAAGTAAGAGTCTTAAAAGTATTGTCACATAATTCATAATGATAACTGGCAAATTACTATTTGTGGTTTAGGGAATATTAAATAAAGAGCAGTTAAATGCTGTAAATGTTTTTAGATTATTTAAAGCAGGCGTGACCAACCTTGTTCCTGGAGATCTCCCTTTCTGCAGATTTAAGTTGCAACCCATATCAAACACATCTGCCTGTAATTATCAAGTGCTGTTAAGGTCCTAATTAATTGGATCAGGTGTGTTCGATCAGGGTTGGAGCTGAACTATGCAGGAAGGTAGATCTCCAGGAGCAGGGTTGAGCACCACTGATTTAAAGAGATAGTTCTCCCAAAAATAATAATTACCTCACCATTTACTCTTCCTCATATTCCTCACCTTACTCATTCCTCATTCCTTAAATCCTTAAACTGACATCGCAAATGGAGAATCAAATGCTCAAACAACTCTGCAAATGGTGAATCAAATCCTTAAACGACTCCGCAAATGGTGAATCAAATCCTTAAACGACTCCGCAAATGGTGAATCAAATCCTCAAACAGACATCGCAAATGATAAATCAAATGCAAATGAGGTGTCAATCAACCAGCATAGGCGGAGCTTTAAGGCGGAAGAGTTTGTTGTTGACAATTAACTACCGGTAGCGCTACGACTTTTTACAGGTGTTCAGATTTGCGTGCACTATTCCAAGTCATATCCGTATAAACTCGTGAAAGAGAAAGCGAGAAATCTCGTACTGCTTCTGTCCACATTCTGAAGTGTTCATCAGATGCGATGTCAGTTTAAGGATTTGATTTATAGTTTGAGCATTTGATTCACCATTTGCAATGTCAGGTTGAGGATTTGATTTATTATTTGCGATGTCAGTTTGAGGATTTGATTTATCGTTTGAGGAGTCGGTTTGAGGATTTGATTCACCATTTGCAAAGTCCGTTTGAGCATTTGGTTTATCATTTGAGGAGTTGGTTTGAGCATTTGATTTATAATTTGAGCATTTGATTTATCATTTGATCTTTTAAGCATTTGAATTTTCATTTGAATTTTGTTAGGAAAAAACTTCCATACAAAACTATGATAATGTTGATAATTTATGGTCATGTTCATTTATTTGTAATGCACATTTAAAGCAGCCATAAAACAAATCAGATATAGAGAAATAATAAGAGCAAACATAGAAATAAAAACCAAGAGGAATAACAGAATAACTATTTAAAAACAAAGACTATAAAATTAAATCTTCTTTAATTTATTAATGATATTAATACATGCATTAACAGCATTAATAAAAGGGATTAAAAAATCGATAGTAAATGTGCCACTATAATCTCATGATTTTATTCACTATATTCATGATATGAAATTACGGTTACATCTATAAGGAGTTTATTCTTTTTTACTAAATGACTAAAAAGGTCAAGAATCACTGCATTAGTGTTCACCAGGGTGTCCGCAGGGTCTTCAAATGTGTCATATTTCAAAAACCTACATTTTAGGCCTTAAAATGTCTTAAATTCACTGAATAATATTGCCTTGTTTGTCTTAACTCATTTTAAACGGCTCTTAATTTTCCTTAGTCCATGTAAAGCTACCCAATTGGGCCAAAATACCCATCCAATCAGCAACAATCCGTCTACATCACTTTGAATTAGGCATGGGACGAAAACAGTTTTCAAGGTATACCGCGGTTTAGAAAAATTGGTCAAAGTTTTCTGTTATACCTTTCCTAAGGTATGCAAGATTTTTTATTTACTTTTTTGTTGTTGTTTTTAGGACATCAGTATCTCTAGCAGAAAAGATACCTAAAGATGTTTTAAACTGTAAAGAAATCTGACCAAGACAGCAGAAGTTAATAATTCATTTGAATTATTTAGCCTGACTTGTTTACTGCTACAAAATACTTTAAATGTCTCTCAAAATAAAAATATATTGTGTTCAAAAGGGAAAAAAGTTTTAGTTTTTACCCAGACATTTAATAAGAATATATTTTAGAGCAGTAATCACAATATTGTGAAACAGTGATCTTTTTATCCAAGGCCCATGCATACTTTGAGCAAAACTATATCTTAACTAATATTATAATAGCTAATTGAATAGCTTTATAACCTTTATGGTGTAATTATCTTTGCACAGTAACATTTGTATATAAGTTCTCCATGTATTTATAGACCATATAGGGTGAGGACACTGACCTTGGCAGACTACTGTGCATACATTTAGTTTATTATACAGAGTTTTTTTATGTTCAAAAATATTTGCATGTATACAACTAGGGGTTGCTTGTTTGATACATTATTTAAAATATGTGGCTAAAAGAATGAATTGACTATGAAAGTGACTAATTAATATGTTTTGGATGGGACAAGACTAGTAAAAATAGTTCTACTGGACCATTAGAAAAAAAGTCCTAAGCATTTAGCCTTGCATGAGTCTGAAATTTCGTTCATAATGTTCTTAAAGTCTTAAATTTGACTTGGAGAAACTCTGCTTTACTCACTGGTTTGAATTGTGCTGTTCAGTAAGCAACTGTCTGATAGACATCTGACTAGATTTGTAATAATAGTGTGAAGACTCCTGGGAAATGAAATGAAGTGAATGGACTTCAGCAGTGTTTGTGTCTCCCTTTGTTTGATGGGTTTTATTCCTGGAGGAGTTCAGTCACATGCTATTAGACGTGCAATGGAGGGGCAGAGCCACTGTGTGCCATGTGACTGGTGTCATCAGAATGGACTTTAAATTTAGTCTGATCTTGTTTTGTAGGAATTTGGGAGGCATTTTGGCAGAGAGAGAGAGAGAGAGAGAGAGAGAGAAACATTTTGAGACATTTCTAGCATAACGTTGCCCAATTCCACACCAAATCTGCAGTTGTACACTTAATTTTTTTTTTGCTGTTTGTTCAAACTACCTATTTAAAATGAGCTCAATTAACACAATTCTTGAGTTTTTTTGAGGGGGACAACTTAGTTGTTTTATGTTGAATCAACTTAAAATTGTAAAAAACCATTCAGTTAACTTAATCGATATGCATTGAGAGGACATGATGGGATTGTGTGGAACCCAACATTTTTACAGTGTAGGCAGACTCTAAAAGTGCTTTCGATTGATGTTGTACAACATGTGGTCACATTACATTTTGTGTTCAGTAGCAAGATTAATTTACTCATCCACAGGTCATCTGAGATGTAGGGGACTTTTTTTCTCTTCAGTGGAACAGTATAGAAGATTTTGAGCTGAATCCGGGCTCACTGGTGATTTATTGTGAACCATTGCAATGTGCACATTTACATATTACCATAATTTCGGTATATATTGTGTAAGGGTGTCACGATCCTCCAAATCCTCGATTCGATTACATTTTCGAGTCTAAAGGCACGATTCGATTCTATTTTCGATTATGAATAGTTAATGAATTAATTACCAATTAATTATTTGTAGCCTACCGTTTAAACTACCTGACCTGCATGGTCTTTGTTTTACCCATAAACAAATCATACAGTAAATGAATAAAGGCAAGATACACACATAATTACCATCTGTCAATCACTTTTTCTGCGGGACTCGTGAATCTGCAGTGATCTGTGTCGTTATAATGGCGTCGGTAAAAAAAGACGCACAACCAACAGGAACCAGCCAACAGTATCTGAGGTGTTCGCTAAAATGACTAAGTACAAGTGAGTGAAAGATTGAAGCAGTCCTCTGACTGCCTGGACCTGCTGTCTCTAGTGCATGGCTGTGTGTGCGTCTGTGTCTGTGTGGTCACGTGATGTGCATTTTCAGAGGTAGAGAGGAAGGAGGGCTGCTCAGAAATGCTACACGCCACTGTGGATGTCAAATCGTTGTCGTTCTAAAATGCCATTTAAAAACAAAGACAGTGTAAACAGGGCCTGAGTGTGTACTTTTCGCAAGCGGATTTGCAACGGGGGCGGGCGGAGAATCGCGATGCCGGTGTTGTCTATCGGACGAACCGTACGTAATACGTACATAGCAGAGCTTGCAAAACTGTGTTTTTTTTGTCGACAACACGAACGTTGTCAACATAACTCACTGGAAATCCAAAATGCTTACACACCGGCGACTTCATTGAAAGAGGAGAGGGTTTAAGCTCTGTCGACGGGTCTCCTGCTTCTGCAGTTTAACAAGCTCTTCAACAAGCCTGTTTTTTTCCCGCTTGGCAAGCCAAGCTGACGTGACATGGAGGCGTGGCAGCATCGACGATTATATTTTTTGATTCGATAATCGAAATTGAGCATAAATTTCGATCGATTTCGATAAAAAATCGAAATCGTGACACCCCTAATATTGTGCAGCCTAATTCTATATGGTTTTCCTCAGTTAATAACGATGGACTTCTATTGTGTTGTTTTGTTTTTGCATTGTGTATATGAGGTTATATTTGCATATTCACAAACGATAAAGAAACTGATGAAATAATAAAAAATAATAATAATAATAAAACAAAGTTTTAAGTTAAAAGTTGGCATTGCTGTGTGGAGTTTGCATGTTCTCCCCGTGTTGGCGTGGGTTTCCTCTGAGTGCTCTGGTTTTTTCTCACAGTCCAAACACATGCACTATAGAGGAATTGAATAAACTAAATTGCCTATAGTGTATGAGTGTGTGTGTGTGAGAATGTGAGAGTGTATGGGTGTTTCCCAGTATTGGGTTGCACCTGGAAGGGCATCCGCTGCGTAAAACATATACTGGATAAATTGGCAGTTCATTCTGCCGTGGCGACCCCTGATTAACAAAGGGACTAAGCCGAAAAGAAAATAAATCAATGAAGTTGGAATAGCAAAATAAAAACCAAATGTAATTGTTTTTTTCATGGCAAAATAATAATAATAATAATAATATTATTCAGAAAGTGTGATACCGGCATAATAATCTGTGAATGATGTGTTTGTGAATGCGCTGTACATCTGCTGTAGCTAAAATAAATAATTGAACAGTCTTTCTTTGAGCTTCACTGTTAATGGAGCAACTTCTGAGTGACTGTGAGGAGGTTTTGCAATGATTTTGTTAATACAACAGAAATATGGTCAATGTTTAGACTGCTTTAATTATTAACAAATCATTGGAGGGAACATTTATACAGTCAGTAAATTCCTGAAACGGTTCATTAGAATTAGATTAAAAATATTTTTGGGCATTTTTATTTGTTTTCCTAAATTGAGTTCAATTTAGTTGATTAAAACATTGCT